AATTCTCTATAGTCAAAGGATCATTTTGTAACTTTTAATAGTCAAAGAACTCAATAAAATAATACCCAATAATCTAAAGACCATTTGTGTAATTTACCCTAGAATTAAATTAATTTTGACTGTATTAGAAAATACACAAATTTAATAATTCAATTATTGAATTTAACAACCAATTACAGTCGTTGATTGCATGAGTTTATGAAATCGATACTATATCTAGGCTATTTGATACATGTTTAAGGGAATTATTTGCACAACAAGTTTAGGGTGTCGTGCTTGAGTTAATCAAGTATAATTATGTTCTTATTTTAATGTTAATTTTATTTACTTAATATAATTTTATTATTATAGTTAATTTATTTTAGAAGTAAATAGGAATGGATCGAAGGATGTAGAGACTCTCGCATCCCTTAAAAACTTCAAATTTTCATGTTAAGGGAATTATTCCTTTGTCGTACTTTCGTTATTTTCTCATTTCACATTTTTATTCTCCTTTTTTAATTTTTGAAAAATATGTCCTTATGACATGTATTCTTCTATTTTTTGGGTCGATCTTCTTTATCAATATTTTGGTATTTTTTATTTATTTTTTCTTATGGTTGGATTTAACGTCGCCTCTATTGATCAAAATGATGCTTATTTGTTGTCATGTTGATGTTCTCTCTTTTGAACCTCATATTGAATTTTGATACATGATTTGCGTTTGTAGATAGTTTTTTTCTTGTTGTTCGACTCTGATTTACGCTTTCACTGTGATCTTTAGTAGTTTGATCTCGTTTTGTGGTTCATTTACATATGCAATTAAATTTGTTCGTGTCTATCTTTTGTTCAATTTTTTTTACTGAAAATTTTAAACTTTTTCTTGTATGATCTTAAGTAACTAGTTTCTCGTGTTAATATTTATAGAGAAATATCCCCAAATATATGTTTAGTTTATAATTATAGTCGTAAACCTTTATCGTAATTCTAAATATTTCTTCTTTTTAATAAAACTAGTGACTTCTATTAAAAATGTATTTTTGGATACATATTTTGTTTTGAGTCAATTGCATTAAATGTCCTCGAATTATAACTCAAATTTTAAATTAATTTCTAAAATTTAAAATATTTCAATTTCATTCTCAAACTATGAATCTTATTCTAGATTAATCCTTAAACTATTAAAATTTTTAATTTCACCCTTAAACTATGACACTTATTGTAAATTAGTCTCCAAACTTTTGAATATGTAAATATCATCCCAAACTATCAGTATATGCTAACCACATCGCTTGTCAATAAAATCGTTAGGTCGAGCTATATTATTATACATTTGAAAAAATAGGTTAAACTATGGTTGAAACTAATTACATATTTGGATGAATTTGGGATGAAATTGGAAGATTCAAAAGTTGTGGACCAATTTAGAATGAGGGTCACAATTTGGGATGAAAATTGGAAGATTCAAAAGTTATGAGACCAATTTAGAATGAGATTCATAGTTTAAGTATTAAATCAGAATATTTAAAAAATTAAAGATTATTTAAAATAAACATTATAATTTAAAGACGTATGACGCAATTAAGCCAAAACTTGTTGAATAAATTGCGCACAAATCAATCACGATGACGTGTTTTCCGTGAAAGTAGTAGTAAGCAACAACAACATTTACCAACACTTATATTGTAATTATATAATAATATGAGATTATTAAGTATGAGGGTAAATTACACCTTTGGTAACTGAACTTAATTCTCTCTCCTATTTTACTCAATGCATTTCCATTTTTCAATTTACTCACTAAACTTTATAAATTGGATTTTTTTGTCACTCTACTGTTAAAATGATTAATGACGTTATGACATTGCAATTTATATCAAAACGAAGTCGTTTTGAATTCTTGAAAAAAATTAAATTTAGACTAAAACGACTTCGTTTTGATTAAAATACGACCATTCATAACGCCATTAATTATTTAAAGGCAGAGTGATAAAAAATTCAATCTATAAAGTCCAGTTAAAAAAATTGAAAGTGATTAGGTACTTTCTTTGTCAATTTGTAATTGGGGTTTTAATTAGTTTAATATTTTGGGTTGATTTAATTAAGGGCATAGCCTTCATAGGGGAGAAAGTGATTAGGTTTTGACTATGAGCAATTAAGAACAACAAAAGGATAAGGTTTCACTTCCAAAGATTACAATTTGATTGCGATTTTCAACCTTTTCTTCATCTACTACTACCACCGATATATACACACACCTATATAAACGAAGATAAAATACACTTTTACTCACTGAACTTTATTCTCTCTTATTTCACTCATCGTACTTTCAATTTTTTCAATTTGCTCACTAAATTTTAGACATTAATTTTTTTTGTCACTCGACCGTTTACTCAGTAACGGGGTGCTCATGTGGTTTATTTTAATAATAAAACATGCCGCATAAGACTTATAATTAAAGAGATAAATTACACGTTTACTCACTGAACTTTACTCTCTCTCCTATTTTACTCACTATACTTTTATTTTTTTTCAATTAATATTGCAACATCATAATGCCGTTAGAAATTTAACGGTCGAGTGACAAAAAAAGTTCAATGTCTAAAGTTTAGTGAGCAAATATAAAAAATTGAAAGTATGGAGAGTGAAATAGGAGATAGAGAGTAAAGTTCATCGAGTAAGCGTGTAATTTATCCTATAAATAAATAAAAGGTAACTAATAATCAATTATGGATTAGTTTAACGGGATAAGATATTACATTCTTTTAAGTTGTAGACTCAAATTCTTATATTATGAATGGATTAAATTGGATTGAAAAATATCGTCCCTATAATAAGATTCTATAGTATCCGATCGAGATTGAATTTTTTTAACTATTTGTTTGTCTCTATATCATATCATCAACCAACAATTTATATCTTTATTTATTGGTTGTGTCTTTAAGGTATGCGATCGTTGTTATTAAACTAAGAATATTCTAAACAAAATATTATCTTATAAATACCCATACTATTAAAAAAATATTTATTTATTGTATAGATGTAACAAAGAAAGTTTGAGATAACCGTACAATCGTGACTCTTATTTTAAATAAACCTCTAAAATTTAAAATGATTTATTTCAGTTCTTACATTATTATCTCACTTTTTATTGATTTATAAAATTTAAAATATTTTATATTAAAATATTTTAATATTTTTAAATTTAACGTTTATTTAAATATATTTAATGTCATCGTAATTTTATTAAGAGTAAAGTATACAATGGTCATCTACTATAAAACACAATTTTGTTAAGTTTATTGACTATTAAAATTTACAAAATGATCCACCGAGTATAACGTGTTGTTTTGTTGAGTCTCTTAACTATTAAATTACAAAATGATCACCTAACTATTAATATGTTCAAAACTTGTCTTTTTTCGTTAAAAGCTGACGAGTGTCTAAGCTGAACATTAACCTTTTGACCGTGATATGATCAAATCTGATACTAAAACTGTTTTAGTTGTACAATCGTTTTAGATTCTATGATAAGATTTTATTATATCTCAACCAACGGGTTGACGTGAAGCTCAGACAACCATAAGTTTTTTAATAGAAAATGTCGAGTTTAAAATATGAACAATCAATATCCATTTTATAACTTTAATAGTCGAGGGACTTAACAAAAAAACGACCTATAACCGGGGATCATTTTATAACTTTTAATAATTGGAGAACTTAACAAAATAATACCCAATACCCTATCCAAATGGACAGCCACCAACTTATTGGCCCTGTTCTGCAACAATCATGGTCACTTTAAGGTAGAAAATTATTTTCACTCTTTCTTCAGAATCTAACCAAAAATCAGAATCATATACGTTTGGGAAACTAGTTTCCAGAATCGAACTTAATCTTTTTTTATTCTCTAAAAAATATTCATTATTTTTCTAATATAATAATTTATTGTTATTTTAAAATAATATAATTATTCACTATTTCTTTAATCCAATAAACTCTTTTGGTCTAGCAATATCAAAAAAAATTAAACTAATAAAAAAATTAAACATAAAAGGTTACATTTATTGAATTATTTTATGTATAAATTTTAGGGACTAAGATTGAATTACTTTCCATATCACATTCGAAGATTTTAATTTTAATAATACGTGGCATATTTATAATAATATTTTAAATAAATAATTATTTTAAAAAGAAATATAATCGAACTAATAATTCAGTGGACTACAATGTATTTTACCATGTGTATTTGGTTCACGTAATATAGGATTACTGAGAATATTGTATTTTGTGTTTGGTTGGTTTAACAGGAATATAAGATTACAGTGTTTGATTAAAGGAATAAAAGATTATTGGAATGTATATTTTACCAAATTGTCATTATATATTTGTTTTTTAACAAGTTGAATTCTACTCTAATATTACTATAATTAATTTATATATTTTCTTTAAAAATTTTAAATTCACAAAATTTATATAATTTTTTATAAAATTGAAAAGTTAAATAAGTTTAATGAAAGGATAAAATTTTATTTTAACCCCTGAACTTCATATAAAATTTTATTATAATTTTTTTTTTTGTAAATCTAAAATAGTTTAAGGATAAATTTATAATTTAACCTTCGTAGAATTTTTATTATTCAACGACAAAAGAAGAATGTTTTTGAAAAAAAATTAAGGGCATTTTAGTCCAAAACGCTGGTAATCCAACAATACCTAAGGGAATAGGGTAATCGCATTCCCGATAATATACCCCCAACATATCACTGTTGGTAATAAAAGATTATCGAGACCTGAAAATATTGACCAACCAAACGGGAGAATGAAGATTTCATTCCCCGATAATAAGATATGACGTGAACCAAAGAGCCCCTAAAAGATAATTGCATGAAGCAACCAAATTATAAAAAACTTGGTGTGCGTGTAATTCCAACCAAATTAATTAGGTTTTTCTTATGAGATAAGTCACCTTTGGTCTGTTCTAAAACTCCATATATACAACAAATATGCAGTAGCAGTTGTTCAGCGTTTTGAGGTCTGAGATTCCAATAATGGCATCAACTGATAAACCCGCCGTAGTCTCGGAGTCGCCACCGAAGTCTGAAGCCGTCCCACCGGAAGCGGCAGCGGACGCGGCGCTGGCTAAGTTTGCTTTCGACTATTCGTTCGTAGATGTCACTGCTCGGATCTTTGTTTTTGCGGCGGCTCTATGTTCTGTGGTGGTCATGGTTACTAGCGAGCAGACGGAGGTGGTTCCGGTGCCGGGCTTGCCCGGAGTTAGACTCCCACTTCCAGCGAAGTTCAATCATTCACCAGCTCTCATGTAAGTATAGTTTATACCATAATTTATACGTATTTGTACATGGTTTTATTTACTCAAGTTTAAGTCTTACAGTCTGGACGTTTTTTTTGGGCGTACGAGAGGCTTATTTGTTGAGCAAAACTAAGGATATCGGAATTGCGACCGTTATATAGCAATAAAGGTGTCGTCTAAAATCATTATTATACAACTAAGATACATAGTGTAACCGAAAACGCGACCGCAATTTAAATCTGTGGTCTAATTCTAGCTTGAAACAATCAGAATATATGGACAAAGTCTGGACTGAATTACAAGGAGTTAAGTTGTTCAACTTTGAGACCGACATAACACTAAATAGTACTTAAATCATAAAAATTAAGAAAGATATTAAATAAAAAATTTAAGATCAAAACTTGATTTTTTATTTTAAAATCATACACCCTAAAATAATTAAATCAAAAAAATTTGAGAGAGATAATTACTTAATTTTAGTGATTTTAAAATTATTAGTGACGTTAAATATAATTAAATCATTAAAGTTGGGTGACTATGACCACTCTTGCTTATAATGTGTATATGTCTAAAAATAGACGAATCGGATCGGATTGATTTTTTTTTTTAAAAATTCACACTTGGGGGCTAAGTGAAGAACAAAATGTCCCTATTACACATCTTGGTACCACAGACATTGAAGAAATTTGGAATTTCCTTGTGGAAATTTCATTAGAGAAGACAACCAAAGTAGACGATGATGTCTGTGTCTGATAGCTAGCATTTGTCATCGATTGAATGGTGGCCTAGGATGAAGAGAAACACACCAAGTTGACGTTGGTAATTAACATTAAAAGATTCTCATATATAATTATTATTTTTAAAATTATTTTTCACATTTTTAAAAGATTCTCATAAATATTTATTATTCGATATATTTATAATAGTATTTTAATATTAACATAAAAAATATAAAGCATATGACATATGATAATTGAATAAACCGATTCAAAAAATAAAGAATATTATTGCCACGGAGTTAATAATATTGAACTATATAAGGGGTCGAGTTGATTTTGAAACTAATGGGATCCTAAAAAATAATTGAACCATAAAAATTAAGAAGTTAGGACTTAATTTTATTATTTTAAAACTGGAAGGTCCTGAAAAATAATTGAACCTAAATTTTTTTAAAAGGGGTAAAGACCTGTTTTTAATAGGTTAAAACTATTGGTGTCTTAAAATGTAATTAAACCATATAAATTATTTACATTGGCAGATACTTCGTAGCAGCATTATCGGTAACAGGCTTATACAGCATTATCACCACTTTGGCATCAGTCTCGGTCATCCTCAAACCAGTTTATTCCAAAACCTTCTTGCTCGCTTTCGCTTTCCTAGACGTGGTAAGTTACTCGACTTCGATTCAGAAAATTTCGAATTTTTCTCGGCAGCTGTCGAATCGATTCCGAGCTTGAACCACCGAGTGAACCGAATTTGAATTTCTTAGATAATTTATAACCCCATATCGACCCCGATCATATGATGTAGGTGTTTGTAGGGATCGTTGCCTCCGCAACCGGTGCGGCGGGAGGCGTCGCTTATATCGGATTGAAGGGCAACAGTCACGTCGGGTGGACCAAAATTTGCAACGTTTACTCCAAGTTTTGTCGATACAATGCGAGCTCGATCGCGCTCGCGTTGTTCGCGGCCATTCTTCTGGCGTTGCTCTCGATGATGTCAACCTTCAAACTTTACAAAAAGATCCGTGACTAGGCAGGTCTTCGATGTCGTCTTAGTTTTCAGCTTAAGAAGCATTTGATAAATGCTAATTGGTGTTGTTTTTGTCATGAAGTAGGTGATGGTTTCTGTCTGCAAATGATGTTTTAATTCGTATTTCATGTGTATGTTATGTGGTTAATATGTTGTCTTCAATTTGTTTGTAAGTCGGCCATTGGTGGTGTTTCATGTAGTAGTTTAGTTTAATGAAATTTAATTCAACTGATATTTCTTGTTATCATTGTTTATAGTTAGGGATGGACATGGATCGGGTCGGTTCGGGTCGATTAGATTTTCGGTCCATCCGATCAGAACCGAAAATTATAAATCTTCCACCCGACTTGAATTTGACATGAAAAATATACACCTTTCATCCAACTCGAACCCAACCTGATTTTTTGAGATAAAATCCAAACCCGGCTCGACTCGACATGAAATAATATATGTGTTAAAAATATTATTTTTATTCAATAAAAATAGGGATTTAATTGAAAGAAAATAATATATAGATGAGTATTTTTACAATTTTCCCTAAATATATAAGGTAAAATTATAATTTTTTCTGATCTAGTTGGGTCGGGTATTTTTCACCCTAAACTCGAACCCGACCCGACCCGAACATAACCTTTAAAAAACCTAACCCGAACATGAAATTTTTTGAAAAATTCAGGTCAGGTCAGAACTCATTAGGTTCGAGTCTCATGCCCATCCTTATTCATAGTATGTATCAAACGGAATAATTCAAATATTTTATCTAAAACATAATGATGATCGACAATGATGATGAGCAATTACCGAAAACGTGAGTTTTTTTAATGGATTGGAAGGTTAAATTAATATTTTATCTAAGGTTCAAAGATTAAATCAATATTTTATCTAAAATTTAAAATCAAATTAATATTTTATCTAAAATTTAAGGGTCATATTAAAATTTAATAATTTCCTCTAATGTGTCATCAATGTAATGAGAGTTAGCAGTTCATTGACCAAAATAAAAAAGATTGAAAATAAAACTGACCAAATTGTAACTTTTAAAGCTATTAACTAAACTGAAACATACAAAAAAAGGTAACATTATAGTTTACCGTTTCTTTAATTTAAACTATACCATAAACATATGATTAGATTAATAATTCTATAATATCTTTCAAAAAATAATAGTAATATTATTTATTTTAAATATAATCTAGATAATAAACAATATATTAAAATAATACAAATCAATCAATCCTTTAATTTACAATACAAATAATAATAATTGTATATTACAAACAAAAAATAAAAAAATTATTTAATTAATACTATTAAATTGTAAAATTATAAATTTATTTATGAGTTAACTAATTTATTTAAAATGTCACTCCCTATTTATATATTCTTTAGAGTTTTGTTCAATATTTTATTATCTTGGTCTGTAGCTTGCTTACTAGGTATCTCCCTTTCTCATCAATTTCTTTTTTTTTTTTTTCAACTTTTGTTCTTCTTATACTCTCATTTTCTCATTTCATTTCTTTTGTTTTTCATTCTCTCCATCTTTTTAGGTCATACATTTAATTTTATTGATTTTATATATTCTTTTCTAATTTTCATACATTTTTTTTATTTCTTAGTACTTATTTTTTAGCTTTGATATCCTTTTTTTCTCTTAGTTTTTTGATTTGTTGTTTTTTTGGAGTTTTAAATTTTTGAATATATTCATATGATTGTTTTTGGGGGTCATCGGTGATGGATGAGGTAGGGCAATGGCTATTGATGGAAGTTTTAAGGATAATTGGACTGCAGAGGAATTACCTGTAGTTTATAAAACTTTTTCAGAGTAATGCACGAAAACTTTCCCCATTGTTCAAACCTGGGGCAATGGGTGATCTTATGCAAGGGTTTAACTACATGCTTTAAGTGGTAATAAAAGATGTTTTTCCTAAAATCTCGCATGGAAAATATTCATTCGATTCATTCTTTTATTCTTCATTATGTATGTATGATAGTTATTTCTATTTCAATATGGGGATTGAGTCCCCCATATATATATACCCATATATATATATATATATATATATATATATATATATATATATATATATATATATATATATATATATATATATATATCATCTTGTTCTTTATTCTGTCAGGACCCTTTATACCAATGGCGTGGATGGTGATAATTTTGACCCCGAGATTAATTTCAAGTTGCTCATATGTTAAGGGGAAGTCGAGAATTATGATAATAAAGAGGAATGTGATTTGCCTTCTGAATTGTTTAAATTGGTGGAAAGGGAAAATAAGCAGATTCTGCCTCACGAAGAGCCGATAGAAATTTTGAATTTGGGATCTGAAGAAGAAAGAAAATAAGTAAAGATTGGCACCACTTTGTCGGCTGAAGGATGTCAAAATTTGATTGAGTTGCTTCGAGAGTACAAAGATGTATTTGCTTGGTCGTATGAAGATATGCAGGTTTGGATACAGAACTGGTAGTACATAAGTTGCCAATAAAACCTGAGTGCAAACCAGTGCAACAAAAACTAAGAATGATGAGACCCGAAATGTTATTGAAAAATAAAGGAAGATATGAAGAAACAATTTGATGTAAGATTTCTCAAAGTGGCCAAATACCCCGAATGGGTAGCAAATATTGTCTTAGTGCCAAAGAAGGATGTGAAGGTTTGTATGTTTATGGATTACATAGATCTTAATAGAGCAAGTCCGAAGGATAATTTTTCATTGTTGCATATTGACACCCTGGTAGGTAATACTATTAGAAATTTCATGTTCTCGTTTATGGATAGTTTCTCTGCACATAATCAAATAAAGATGCAGCCTAAAAATATGGAAAAGACCACGTTTGTTACCGTATGGGGCACATTTTGCTATAAAGTGATGCCTTGTGGGCTAAAGAATGCATGAGCAATATACCAGAGAGTTATGGTGACATTATTTCATGATATAAACTTAATCAGAATAAATCCACGTTCGAGGTAACATTTGGAAAGTTATTGGGTTTTATGGTTAGCAAAAAAGGGATTGAAATAGACACTAACAAAGTCAAAACCATTCAAAGTTTGCCACTTTCACAAACATAGAAAAAGGTTCATGGCTTTCTAGGAAGATTGAATTACATTGCCCGATTTATCTCGTAATTGACCGAGAAATGTGACACAATCTTTCGTTTTCTTCGAAAAAAATAACCTAGGTATATGGGGTTATGATTGCCATAAAGCTTTTGATGCAGTAAAGTTGTATTTATCTAATACCCCAGTTTTAGGACTATCTATCTCTGACAAACCATTGATTCTATACCTATAAGTTTTCGTGAACTCGACAGGATGTGTGTTGGACTAGCATGACAATACCGAGAAAAAGGAAAAAGTAATTTATTACCTAGTAAAAATTTCACTGACTACGAGGTGAGGAATTCACCGATCGAAAACTGTGTTGCGCATTGGTCTGGGCTACTCTTAGACTCAGGCAATATATGTTGTATGATACTACCTGGTTGATCTCCAAATTGGATCCCTTGAAATACTTGATGGGTGTGCCAGATTTATCTGGAAGATTAACTCATTGGTAATTCCTATTATCAGAGTTTGACATCAAGTATATGAGTCAAAAGCAATTAAAGGGAGTGTCATAGCAAAATTCATAGCAAGTAAAACCTCTGATGAGTATGAGCCACTGAATTTTGATTTTTCTGACGAATATTTAATGACTATAACATTATAAGAAACAAGCACCCCTATAAATAGATACTGAAAGTTGAACATCGATGGTGCTTCAAATGTACTAGGCCATGGAATAGGGATAATTTTGGTTTCACTCGAAGAAGATCATTACCCTTTCACTAGTCAGTTGAACTTTGACTACACAAACAATATGGCTGAGTATGAATCTTTTGTTTTAGGTCTTAGACATATTATTGAGCGAAAAGTAAAGACACTCAAGGTGTACGGGATTCAACTCTTATAATTTACCAACTTAGAGGTGAATGAGAAACAAATGATCCCGAGCTTGTAGAATATCGCATATTAATCATGCAACTGATTAAAGAATTTGAGGAGGTGACATTTAATTACCTCCCCATGGAAGATAATAAATGGCAGATGCTTTAGCTACCTTAGCATCAACTTTCAAAGTAAACGAGTACTCAAGTATAAGGGCTATCAAAATGTAGGCTTATGAGTACCCGATTCATTGTTACAACATTGAAGAGGAGGATGGAAATTCCTGGTGTTATGATATCTAACAATATATCAAGTATCAGAGTTACTCCGAGGAAGCGACGAAAAATAATAAAAGAACCATAATAAGAATATATGTTGGTTATGTATTAGATGGTGAGATCTTGTAAAAAAAGCCCAAATCAAGTTCTGTTGTGTGGATGTCAATTAAGCTAAAACAATCATTAAAGATGCACATGACGGAGTGTGTGGTACTTACGCCAATGGGCATGCCTTAGCTAAAAATATATATAGTATATTATATAAATAATTTTAAAAATAGTATATATTATATATAGTTTTTAAAAAATAATATACTTTTTAAAATAAATATTTTATGGTTTAAAAACATATATGGATTTCAAAAAATATTATAGTTTTAAAAATAATAAATATTATTATATATCGTATATATACCTCTTTTTGGAAGGTAACCCTTTTCCTTTGTAGATCTAGGCTTGTGGGAGGGTTGAGGGTTGCAAAGGTTCTATTTTTGCGTTTTCCTTAGAGGTCTAAGGCTTAGAAACGGAAAAAGGAGGCTTCAGGGTTCCAAAAGAAAGGGTGTTTGGGTTTGGTTGCCCCGTCGACGGTGGCCGGAGTGTAGCCTTTTATTTTTCACGGCGAGGGGAGAGGAGAGTTTTGAGAGATGGTTTTCTTTCTGTTTTGGGTTAAATTAAAAAGAGTAAGCATATGAAAGTCGAGGCCATTTTTGGCCTAGTTTTTGAGCTTTTATATCTTGTACTAAACGGCATCGTTTAGAAGGGAGAGGCCGAGCGTTTTGAGTTTCAGTTTATTAGTGTTTTAGGGCCTTATCTTTGTACCATCTACGTTTTGATCCTTAAATGAAATATGTTTTATTATTTTTAAGTCCTTTATGTTTCTGTATACTTATATCTTG